GAAGAAGACAGTTGAAATTCGGATTTCCATTTTGAATATAACATGTTGTCTGTTCTTTTTTGAGGCGATCAAAATAAGAAATTGTTTATTATCTGGTTACAGATCCAATGATGGTCAAATAACAACCTAATGAAATATGCTCTAAATCGCCTAGAATTCTGAAAGTGACCGATATTCTACCACTAACTGAAAAATGATATGGTCAAATTCCTGATTTGTATCACTAAAATGTCAGTGCAACATCTACAGAAATAATATGTTTATCTCGTTACAATTTTTTTCAGAAATAGTCAATAGTGAGAGGCTACAAGTTTGACTGTCCATTAGTGGATGAGTGAATAAATGAGTAGATATATCGTCTGTCCATTATTCTCGTTCATTTATTCCTTTCTGGATCGTCAAGACCATACAGAAGACTTCTCCAAATATCTATCCGCAAATTCGTGATCAAGACATTCACACATCTTAGTTCTATTACTCAGTTTACCAAGTAAGGCAAACGTCAGATGACGTGGATCTTGAAATTCACTTTGATGGAGCTTAGCACAAAAAGATAAAACAATACAATTCCGATTGAATCACAACAACTCAAATCTGCTTTGCTATATGAACGAGGATGACGGTTGTTGAATTCAGGATATGGATATTTTGGTATCAATTCGAAAGACAAAATATTTTCAGGATGAATTTCGATTATGAATTTTTATTACATGCGACACTTGAATGTTGCTTCAAGATTGCTAAACACCAAATTGACGTTGAATTTTCAATACACAGTAACATTAGGACAGTGAGTTTGCCTTAATTATTCAGATTCCATTTCACACAATTTTCCTCAGAACTTCAACGACACTTCCATCGCTTTATTGTATAAACAAAAACCAACTGGATATTGTAGATTGTAGGAAAACTAATTTGGTCACTATTATAAATTACAGAAAACTTCCACGTTAACATAGTGATAATCGTGTACAAACAGTAGGTAACATCAAGCTAACATATGAATAATCATGTAATTCAATGTAAATTATAAAGCAAACAAAATTTGTTACCTTCATTCTCACACGTGATATAATAATAAATGCTCGACACAATAAGGTTTCTCTCAAATCCACTAGAAATCTGAAAAGAAGTAATGAAAGTTTGAGTCAAGATCTGTCAATAAACAACCACCTATATCAAAATCAACAAAACATTGAAGCAATGTGTCGTCATTCACATTATCTTATTCAAAGACAACTAAATACACTTACAGTAAGCATACTGATCTCCTCGGCTCCCTAAGAAATATACTCCATCTAATTAACGAAGATATTCTGACTCACCTCAGTTGACAACTTCAGTGAAATTCATTGAACGATCTATTTATCATGGAATGAGGCTGTACATAATAAGATGAACATCTACGTCCGTTGGTAGAAGTATGATTGTGAATAACTGCAATGTCGCTGAAGGTGAATTTGTTGTTCTGTTGTGGAATTGTGTTTATGTGCCTACTTATATCAATTGCCGTTCATTTCTCAACAGCATTCATTCCACAATTTGTTTTGATTACATCCAAACAAACAAGACGGATTGAGTGAAACACTCATAAAATTTATCATCTCACCAGCCATTTCTAGTCATCCAGTATTTATTGTATTGCAAATCGATCAAGTTGTATATAGTGACATTCGAACAAATAGAATCTGAGAAGCGATCAGGATTTTACCAAAATCTCTCTCTTGAAATATTCCATTATGAACTTTTCTCACAACTGGTCTATGAAAGTCTGAAAATCACCGTTCACGTACAGAATTCTGACAAACACTCTTTGTTCTAGATTGGCTCGAAGGTATCAGAATTTCTTTACATATTATATCACTTCCTTGTTGTTCATTATTTTAAAAAGTGTCAGAATAAACTGTGTCATGAACGGATTGTGAATAGTTTCATAAGGTCTATATTCACAATACAAAATGTTAGTGTCCTTTTATCCTTTTCAATATATTTCAATGTATTTGACAGTACTGATATGCATGAATAATCTATTCATGTGCTCAACTTACGTTCTCATAATAGAAATATATCTTCCCATTCGAGTGTATCAGGTGCATTGCCTTCAATGTATCACCTGCAAAAAAAAAACGATTGATATTTAAAATTTCAAGGATTAGTGTCGAGCATGTCATTGATAGATGTGACATTGTATGTGCCTACACACACAGGAGGTTCAGATTTTAGGAGATATTTACTGTGTTATCGCAAATGTTTTCGTGATGAAAATAATCTCGTGAATGTTCTGTAGATCAAATAAGCATGTATCCTTCATCGTGAATGTCAGATGCTTAGTTTGTTTAGTTTTCATATTCATCTAGTTCCTAAATAGATCTGATAGTTGGAGTAGTATTCGAATTGGTGGAATACTTCTTATATTTCAACTGATACAATTGACTCTAGGTGCAAATGAAATGAACTGCGGTTTGTTTGTTTGTTTATAATTCGAGTTTTAGAATTTATTTAGTTATGTAACACATTGATATATCAGTCGATCAAATGACTGTGCCCACATTATGTGTTAAAGATGAGAAGTGAATATGCTTAATACATATTGATTTAACGATTTCTTAATTTGTAAGAATAAAAGCTGAGAATTATCGCATAATTATTGAATATCCAGATGAATGTGGTGTATACAGAAATGATTTTCCGATGAACGCATATGTACAGACTTGTCATCATGTTCCTTTGAAACCTGTCAATGAAGATGAATCTCTGTATTCGTTTATGTACAAATGAAATGAGAATATGACCTAATGTATCCAAACGCATTTTAATTATTCTTTAAGTTTCAATAAAATATGTACGGACAATCAATGGATTTTATGTCTATTTAGCCTTTGATTTTGTAGAATGGTTACACTGAAATACTTTCTTCAGTCTTTTAAAGACGAATTCAATTACTCAAACGGAATAGAAAACAGTTGAGTAATATCATTCAATGATGATCATGATGTATATTGTTCATAGTTCACATGTGATCAAACAATCATGGATGTGGATACATACTTTTATTATCAATGTTTCCAATACAAGATATTCTGACAGCAAAATATTCCTCTGAAATAATGAAAGTAAAATAAATTTGCGTTCACATATCTGTAAAATGAACAATGACCTCTTTCAATAAAAAAAGTGTTTGAACACAAGTTATGATGTTCCTTTTCAAGATTGAAGTGAACCAATTCAACTCAATGAGAGTCTCAATGATCTGCATCATTATTTCACCAATATGATGAACGTTTGACTAACTTAACAACCGTTAATATCTATTCGACAATCAACGTACAAAATCATTTTGTGAAATTGTGTTTTTCCAATTGAACAGTATTCTCTTAACTGAACTCATTATTGCCCGGAAATGTTACCCCGATGACATTAATTTCGGTAAGTGAATAATATGAATACCCTTCATCTTGATATTCTAGATGTTCTAGTTTGAATCAATCATGTTGTACTAGCACATTATTCGTGATTGTTAACTGATTTGATGTTTCAGATGGTACATGGGTTCAAACTTCATGATCAACCGATTATGATAAACAAGAATGTGTTTATTACCCAATAGTTCTACGACAGTTAAAAAGAGGGACTGAATTTATAAGAACCAAGTAAGTGACAGAAAAATTTGGAGGACATCCAATATAAATTATTGATGGTTCATGTGCTTCAATAATTCAAACTGATTTCTCACACAACATCGCTTATTGTTGCATCTGTGATCAGCCAGATTCGTTCAATCTATCAATAAGTGTCGTATTGATGAAATATCAGTTTTATGGTAGTTTGAACAGATTGAAGAGTAGATAATTTCCGCCTAACCAAATACATTGTATGGTTCATTATTGCCACTCAATCAATTTTTGTCTATTTTGAAGTGAATCGCTGTTTTATTTAACATTTTCCCTTCACAGTAATGAATACATGTTGTGAACACAGTTTAGGGCATGCGATCACACAAATAAAATAATCATTGTGTACTGACCAGCTCTCATGAAATAATCAAGTTAAACATCGAATTATTTATGCAAAATAAAAATGAGTAATGTAAAGCATAAAACAAACAAAACTTCACTGAATAATAGTAGAACTCACCCCCATTCAAAATCTCATTTTTACACACAAAATCGCCGTAGACATTAGTTGCAATTACTCTATAAACATCTTGTACTTTCAAAATAATCGCACCTGTGTTTATCAAATGAAAATATACAATTTGATTAATAATGTATAGTGAATGAATGAAACACTTTGAAATTCACTGGAGACTGGAATGAATCGCATGAACAGTAATTAGTTTACTACAACGGTACAACTTGAACAAGGAAATACATTAGTAGATGTATTGAATGTGAAACAAAAAATGTCTAAAACTGATCTACTGACGTAATGAAAGCCACTTTGATTCATGGAATTGAAATGTGAGCAAACAAAACTTTAATTCAAGGAAAATAATTCTCTTACCGTGAGTATTTATATTTACTGAGTTGAGATCAGCACCGTAAAATTTGAAAGGGAATTGCAGATTTATTTCCTAGAAATATACAAACATATGGATTATCATCTCCGTTGGAAAATGTCGTTAACTCACCGTCCTTTTATTCAATTTCTCAAACTTTTCACTAACAATTGGTGAGGGCTGATTAGAACGAATGAGCTGGGAATAGTGATAAAAATGAGACTGAATATTTGTAATGAAACTTGACTGATCACTTACATATTTATATATATCACTTTGGAAAATTATTTTTGCTTGAGTAAGTAAATGATCGTTTTCACAAAATTCATTACAGTCGAAGAGTTCCAATGTATGGACAATGATTGAATAAATCGTTACCAACTGACCAAATGAAAACGTAGATCTGAAATGGTTCAAATGAATAGAACAATGTTATCTCATTAGATCAAATTGAAATGGATATAATACAATCATTTGATTTAAGTATACAGACAATACTCACATCATTTTCTCGTTTTAGACGTTGATATAACGTGTTGAGTCTTATATAGATTTTTTTGGAAGTGTTTGTACGTTTCTTTCAGATTGGATGATTCAAATTGACCATTAAGATCATGAAATTTCATAAAATCATTTCACTATTATTAACCATACGTGCAATAGTCCTACACTTATTTTGGTAATATAGTCTGATATTGATCCATAGTTAATTGAAATTCCTGACCCTCCCCCCCCCGACTATTGATGAAAACTATTTTGGATGGGATTAACACTATTTTAAACTAAGTAATTAGTGCTCATATTTTCATGAACAAACATTGTGTGTTACTTGTAATCAACTATGAATTGGTTGTCGACGATGCATAGCTTTGATTTGATTGGTTAATATGAAAGAAGCACACACTGATTTCACTAGATGACCAAAATTCACATTTTTATGTTTAAATTTTATTTCAATAAAATGAATTTTTCATTGGTTAAAATGATGGATCAATTGAAGATAGATCACTATTAAAAACCAAGAAGCACTTGACGGCAGTTAGTCAGCAGTGCATATCCACGATCCCGCCTCCCCCGGAATCCGTCCCCAGGAACTATCAGTATCTCGCACGAGTGCCTTACCATTAGATCACTGAGCAGGCCAGCATCTAACGGCGTTCACGTCTAACTTCAACCAATCCACGAAGTTGCGCCACCATCATCATTGTCTTCAGTGAGTTGATATCGGATAACAGACCTGGTTGAACGCCAATGGTAGCGGCTTCTCACTAGAACTCCATCAGTGTCACTTGAAGTCAGTCACTAGTGAGTAAATGATTATTAACATAAAGGGTTTCATGCAAGCGACACTGATAGGTACTGGTTTCGAATAACACGGGGGAGAGAGATCGTGGATGTGCACTGCTGAGGAGCCCCTTACTAAGATGAATCGGCCGTCTAGTGCTCCCAGGTTTTCCGTGGTGGTATAAATTCAATTGACTCATGGTTACGATCAGTAGAGTGAATAACAGTCTATACTTTCGTAAATCAATAATCATTTCATTAGGAAAAGCCAACAATATTTATGTTTTGATTACATATGTAAAATAGTGATTCTCGATACTATGAAAGTAAATTGTGCACTTCAAAAAGATGTTGATAATAACTAAAGAAATATTTCCTTGATTATTTCAACCTGTGATTGACTAAATGTTTGTTACATTAATTGGCACCAGTAATATGAAGACTACAGTAGTAGTAGTAGTAGTAGTAGTAGTAGTAGTAGTAGTAGTAGTAGTAGTAGTAGTAGTAGTAGTAGTAGTAGTTATTTTGCTTAATCGGCGTCGAGGTCTCGTGACTGTCCTTACTCGAGTATTCAACGATGAACCAAGAGTCTATGACATGCACCTATACAATCCATATTACGGAATATAGTTGTCAGTAGTATCACGATCGACATGCTCAACTCGAAAGAACTGGTACATTCGTCCATCCTCACTTCATCTATTCAATCATCATTTGCATCTTTACTCAATTACCTGCTTATCTACCAACTTTTATCTGACAATTTGACAAGAATGATATTCTTAAAAGTTCCTTTCCGACATCACTGAGTGTTACAGATGTAGTATGCATTACACGACAGACCATATGTAGAACTATGACATTCACACTAAGTGATGGAATAAGATCATATCAATCAATATATAAGAAGGATTCCTTGTAGATATTATAGTAGTTTCAATAGTTTAATTCATGAATCAATTGAAGTTAAACCTCCATAAAATTATGCAGATCATTGACACACAGTTGAACAACATACAACTGCAGGTACTCCAGCGAATGAAAAAAAACATGAAGATTGAACACAAGAGTTTTATAAGTACCCCAATAGTGATTGGTTTCACTTGATTTTCCGTAAGAGAAGTAGTAATCTTCTATAACATCAGAATTCTAATCATTTTGTCAGTCACATGAACAGATTATTACGAAGCGAAATATTTCATTCTAAATAAGATTCATATTACACCCACTAAACAGAATAGAGTATAGACAATACCATATGATCTCATTATGAGATGGAATGAGGTGATAATTGACAACAAAGTATGATCATTAGTGTTTCTATAAATAAAAGAGGTCAACAGAAATATGTTTGTTAAGAAAAAGCACACGTTGTCTACACTGAAATAGAAGAAGGAGTAATCAATTCTACTTTGAAAATGTTATCGGATGTAAGAGAAATGATTGTAGAACGTGGTGTGATGTTGTATTCAATGCGGTGAATTGGACAAAATTCCCAAATTCTTATATCATATTCCCAAAATGCACACAGTTCAGAGGTGTTTGTTTCATTAGCAGGAGTGACATATATAAGAAGGTCAGTGTGTGCTGCTTCCACCTCCGGTGGACTCAACAAAGCTGGTCTATTCAAGAGTTGCTTGAAGTATTGCACCCATATATTCCTCTGATATTCAATCTCATTGATTGATTTTAATACTTTGTTCTTTACCGGTCACCATGGTTTACTATATTTCCCTGCCATTTTGTTTTTCGTTTTGTATAGTTATTTCTTGTTTCTTGCAGCTACGGCTTCATCTGCTCTCGTTGCTGGGTGCTCCACGTACTTTTGCTTGTTGGCTGTAATGCTCCTCTTCACTTGCTATTTTGCTTCCGTTTATTCAGCTCGGTCATTGATTTCCTATGTTATTGTTCGGCTGTTGTTGGTTGGTTTCTCAGCGTTTTTTATTATCTTGATCTGTCTGATTCTATGCAGTGTGATCCGGTGAGACCCGTGTAGCTTTGTGAATGCATTTGTGGTGTGATGTTATGATGTCTATAATTAGTTTGTTGAACGCACAAAGTTACACAAATCTCTTTCCATCTTCGTTTCTTACTCCCGAGAGATACAGTTCATGTTTTACGCTATGCAACTCATCCAGTATATGTAAATCTACCAGGAATCACAAATCCACTTATTCTTATCTTAATAATTAGTAGTAATTATATGTAAAATGAGAATTTCACTCATCTTTGATTTCAGTCAAATAAACAAACAACATTCATATGACACCCACGATACACAATAGAGAATACCATATTATCTTTTGATTCATGAGATAGACTGGGGTGATCAATGATAAACAAAGTATAATCATAAACAAGAAAGAGGTCAACACAAATATGTTTTTGTTCATCAGACAAACACGTTGTTGACACTGAGATTGAAGAAGGATTAATCAGTTTTACTTTGAAAATGTTATCGGATGTAAGGAGAAATGTTGATGGAACATTAACTTCGAAATGATAAAAGTGTTAGTTATTTTCATACATTCATACATACACTGTCATCCATACCAGGGCATTTGGCAGCTTTATAAGATATCACAACCATGGCATTGAACACTTCATTTGTTAATTTCCATCATTTTTTTATCACATTCTGTATAATCCTTCCAGACTACACTCTCTTCTTTCCCTTATATTTTCTTCAACTCGATCTTCCTAACGTTCTGCTGTCAGGTTTTCCACTTCCGATCGGTGTTACAAGTTCAGTTTGAATAACAACAGCTTGTGTGTTGAAACGGTTAATATCATGTATATAAAAGTGTATATTTAATTGTATACAATTAAAATGTAAGCATAATGTTGATCCGTGAGGCCAATAAAGAAAATAGTAATCCAAATGAAGTAGGATTTCTTTTGTGTTATGAGTGCAATCTCAGAATTTGGTCTAGATAAATATGGTGGTTGCTACCTACCTATCTGGCCAGTGTACTCTTCTTCCTGATCTTGTTGTGGTTTCTGCTGCTGCTGAACTTTGATTTAAAGTATTGTTTGTTGCAGGTAGTTTGAATGTTGCTTACTCTGCAAAGGGTTTAGACGGTTTTACAGTTATCTGTTTTTCAGTGTTCTCGAAAAATGCTGGTTTTACTCTGTCGATGCTAACAGTATCATGTTTACCTGCTCTTTCCACTGTAACCGTTTTAGTGTCCTTTCGGATGATTTTAAAAGGGCCGTCATAAGGAGTCTTTAACAGCTGTCGTACTCTATCATTTCTGACGAACGCATGTGAGCATTTGTCTAATTCATTGTGTACGAATGATTTCACCTTTTCAGTTCGTGGTTTAACGGGGCTAATGGATTCCATCGGCTGTTTTAATTGTTGCACGTAGTTGGTTATATCTGCTGGAATATCTGTTGCACGGTCAAAGAATTAACCAGGCAAACGTGACGTTGTTCCAGAAACCAACTCAGCTGCACAACAACCAAGGTCTTGTTTGATGGTTGAGCGGATGACTAATGGTATCAAAGGAAGCTTGACATCCCATTTGTAATCCCCCCGTGCGGCCGTCAAAAAGGCTTTTAACTGTCTGTGGAAACTTTCTATCATTCCATTAGCAGGCGGTTGATAAGCATTGGTTCCAATTCTCTTTATACCGAAAGTATCCGTAAGTTGCTGAAATAGTTGGCTTTCGAATTGCGTTCCACGGTCGATCGTAATTGTTGTAGGGACACCGAAGTTTGTAATCCAGTGTTTCACCAGCTTCTTCACCACTGTCGATGATGACGTGTCTTTTAACGGAACAGCTCGTAGATCTATCTATACATGTTAATATATGCGTGTAACTATTAGAAATTGGTTACGGTCCCACAATGTGGATATGAATGTGGCCGAACCTGGCGCTAGCGGCAGGAAAGCTTCCTCTAGGGGGTATGATGTGCCTATGTAGTCTTGACTTTTGGTATTGGACGCATTCCCGCGACCGCTTTCTTACGTCTTTGTTTATGTTTGGCCATACAAATCTATCTGTGACAAGCTTTACAGTGGCTTTTATACCTGCATGAGATATATTGTGCAATTTCTCAAAACTGTTTCGTCTCATACCGTAAGGTAGAAAGGGGCGAGTTTACCTGTTGAGGTATCACAAGTTATGGTGTCCTTGTTGTTTATGGGGATGTTTTAAAATAGTAATTTCGTTACCTTAGACTGCAACAGTTTTTGCAGCTTCGTGTAGAGCTTTTGAAGCTTTGCCATTTCTTGATAATTTATATCAGGGATCGAGGAGGATTTGATATTTATTCTCGATTGTGCATGTGCTGCCTGATTTGCATTGCCTTTAATATAGGGTATATCAGCTGCAAATTGTGAAATGAAGTCTAGTTGACGAATTTCGTTCGGACTGCATTTATCATGATTGTGCATCGCGGACTTCGTTAGAGGTTTGTGATCAGTATAT